TTAAACACAATGCAATGTGGCTATAATGACAGTCATCTCCTGGGTAAAATGTACAGAACAAAATCACCCTACAAGTGCATAATCCAGTTTTACCTCCCACCATTCTAATATTTAGAAATTAGGATTAACACTTACCATTTGCTGAAAGAGTCAACATGATCAAGCAGAAACAACAACGTACTTGTATAGCATTTTGATTAGTCTGTATGATTAGAAAAAGCACTATAGAAATCCAAACACGATATATTAAAGCTAATAAACTAAATATGCTTCCTTTAACAAGATGGACTAGTCGGGTTGAATAGATTTTTAAACAGCATGAATAAGCATTGCGTTCTTTAATGATCTTTATAGTAAATAGCATGACCAAATTTTCTGCGTCTGAGGTCAATGTTTTTGAATGAATCTTAAGAACCTTTAACCAAATTGTGTGTGTGAGAGAGGGACAGAGAGAGCATTTGTTATTTAAAAGCAATGCAGTTTTTAAACTAAAAGGTAATCTAGGCTAGGGCTGTGCGATATGACCAAAATCTCTTATCCCGATATAAGACATCTATCGTCCCGATAACGATATAAATCACAAACATTTAACATTTTCCGTAAATCCTGTGAATCTTGGGTAGCTGAAGTGTTTCCAGCTGGGCGTCGTGTAGCTGGAGTCGAGTGTTTTAGCCGATGCATGAAACGATACATTTTTAGACGTACAATGTAACGGCCGCCGTTTTCTTTGTGAGTATTTATTACACGACGTGCTGCAGGGAAAAGCCTGATCTAACGTTTGAGTCTAAGGGTTATTTTTTAGCACCTGACGGCTCTTTTTTGCTTCTCATCCATAAACACTCTGCATACTTTTTCACTTGATTCAGTTTATTTTGAAAAGTCTCAACAGGATCTTGATCTTTATTGTGAAAGGTTTATGTGGAACATAAACAAACGGACACACAATGGTTTTACCATCGTTGTTGCTAACGACAACGCATAAAAACAGGTGCTTGTCCGTCTGTAGTGTGGTTATATTAAATATAAGAGAAAGAGAGAACTTGAAGAAATTTATATAGACAGTTTATTTTGCGACACCACGAAACAAACGACAGCGTAAAATGGAACGATAGACATTTTTATATCGTCATCCGATATATATCATTATATCGAACAGCCCTAATCTAGGCTCTTCAAACGCAACATTTTTCCATCTCTAACAGAGACTTGAGTTGTCAAAACAAACAAACAAAACAAAATGGATACACCGATATCAAGTGACAGTAAAGCTTACTGCTGGATTGGACACATTTGCAACATGACTGACACAAAACATGACACAGCATGGATGCAGACTTATTTTGAAAAGTCTCAACAGGATCTTGAGCTTTATTGTGAAAGGTTTATGTGGAACATAAACAAGCGGACACGCGATGGTGTTACCGCCGTTGTTGCTAACTAGGGCTGCTCAATTAATCGAATTTTAATCACGATTACGATCTGGGCTTTCAACGATCATTAAAAATGACTGAGCCGATTATTAGCCCCTCCCTCATTTATCCGCGACACCTTAAAGGCCGGTCCGTGAAAATATTGTCGGGCATAAACCGGTCCGTGGCGCAAAAGAGGTTGGAGACCGCTGATTAAGAGGACCCGAGGGAAGCTCGGAAAGCTAAGCAGAAGTTATTTGGAGAGTGACTGCCGCTGGTTGAAAAGAGTTTAAAAAAAACAAAACTTCAGTGGTGTTGCACACTATTTTATATTATTTTTTTAAAGTCATTGTTAACCCTTTAAAGCCGGTCAGAGCAGCACGCTCCGTTTTGCGTAACTATTTTTAAATCCCTGTAGAACCTGAACCGTGTAAGCTAGCGCAATAATTTGTTTTGCATATGAAACCGGAGGAGTTGTACTTACATCTGATGCCATCAGCTTGTCCTCGGTCACGGTTTCGTTCCACATATAGCTTTGCAAAAATTGCATAAAAAGCGCTTGCAGGAACAAAAACATAATATTCCAGAAACACGCTTTGCCGTTCCTATCAGCTGTTCTTAACACTTCCCACAGTGAAATGATGCACCTGCTGTTTTCTTTGCAAATTTGCATCATAGGATTGTTTTTTGTTTTTCCTGCAGTATATAAAAATTGCTGTATCTCCAAAATAAAACTATGAAGACACTCAAAATAAATTTCCTGTGGTGGGAAACTATTTTTTGCAACTTTATTGTATTTAAAGTTTTGAGGGATAAACCTCTTAAACTTCTCCAAGTAGAAATATATGTAAACAAAACAAAAGCGATTTTCTATTTTTTTTGTAGTTTATTGCACTTTTTTGCAATTTATGTAATTACTATGGACTTAATGCATACATATTATTAAAATATGGGCTATAACAGTTGTATTGATGTATAGCAACTTGAAATGCTCCCACAAATGGCACTACAGCATGTAAAAAAAATAATATAAGCTCTGGTGGACTTGGTTCTATAGTAGGTCTTAAAGGGTTAAATAAATATCGTCAAATAATCGTGATCTCAATTTCAGTGAAAATAATCGTGATTATCATTTTTGCCATAATCGAGCAGCCCTATTGCTAACGACAACGCATAAAAACAGGCACTTGTCCATCCGTAGTGTGGTTATATTAAATATAAGAGAAAGAGAGAACTTTAAGAAATTAATGTAGCCACTGCAGTGACCATCAAAACCATGAAAAAATATTGCTGTAAACAGTTTATTTTACGACACCACGAAGCAAACGATAGCATAAAATGAAACGATAGATGTTTTTATATCGTCATCCGATATATATCGTTATATCGAACAGCCCTACTGACTACCTTGACGTCGGTCTTTCAAAGTCCTTCTTTGGACACTGGCTGCTTTTTCATTTATTTTCAGTCCAATTCTTGTACCTGACTATTTTCAGAGAAATGTTATCTTCTTTGTTAATCCACGTGATGCTGACATGAATCACACAAATATAAAAAAAGGCTCTTAACTAGTGGAACAAACCAGTGTTGTGCCTACATATAAACAACAAAGAACCTAATTTTAATTTACTGCACTTTTTTACTAGAACGCTGCCACAAAACCCATAACTTGGTTCCATTTTCTCAAATTGAATCTATAAAAATGCTAAATGTAACATAGTTTAATAGGCATAAAATAAGTTTTACACAACAAGGTGTATCTCGGCTGATGTGCAGCATATTTTGAAATAGTCAAGAAAAGTAAATAACAAAAGAAAAATTGGGAGCCAACGACCCTTTAGCCAGTGGTATTGGGGATCTCATCAAAACTGATGGAATTACGAAAGAAGAAAAGTGCCATTAGATCTATCTGGAACAAGACTCCATTTTTCAGTATGACATTAGACCAAATACAGACCCTTTCCAAAAAGATAGAGTATCATGGAAAAGTTGATTTATTTCTCTAATTCCATTCAATATGTTAAACTTTCATAGATTATAGATTCAGGGCCCACAACTTAAACAATTTCAAGTACTTGTTGTTTATTTGTACATGATTTGGGCTTCCAGCTTATAAAACCCACGAAAACAGGAATTCTAAAAATTAGAACACTGTGAAGACATCAACGCAAATTTTACAGGGCATGAATGTTTTAATTCAAACAGAGAAGATTCATGAATCTGGCAGAGATCCAGAGAGAGGGGAACGAGGCTGGAGTCACAGCTTCGAAAACCACCACATTCAGACGCATGCAGGAGATGGGCTACAACTGTTGGATTCCTCGGGTAAAGTGTGCTTTTCATTCGGGAATCAAGGTCCAAGGGTTTGGAGGAAGACGGGTGAGGATTACAACCCAAGCTGCTTGAGGTCCAGTGTGAAATATCCACAGTCAGTCTTGATTTGGGGTGTAATGTCCGGTACAGGTGTTGGTAAAGTCTGCTTTCTTAAATCCAAGGTCACCACAACAGTCTACCAGAGTGTTTTAGATGACTTCATGATTCCGTCTGCTGAGGATCTGTATGGAGATGCAGATTTTATCTTCCAGCAGGACCCGGCCCCTGCCCATAACACCAGAAGCACCAAAACCTGGTTTGATGGCCATGCCATCACAGTGCTTGACTGGTCAGCAAACTCAACGGAATTTTTTGAAATTCTGTTTTCGTGGGTTTTATGACCTGGAAGCCCAAATTATGTACCAATAAACAACCAAGTACTTAAAATCATTTAAGTTGTGGGCCCTAAATCTATAATCTATGAAAGTTTAACATTTTGAATGGAATTACAGAAATAAATAAATGTTTCCATGATACTCTAATTTTTGTAACGGGTCTGTATTTTCTCATATTTGCATGGAAATATTCTTACCCTGCACAAAAAAATTAGTTTGCACACAAAGTTACCGTTAGATTTATGAAACATGACCTAAAGCTAGAAGAGGTGCAGTAATCCAAGGCGTTTTCGTGGAATTGATGACTGCTTAAAATAAAATGTAAAAAGCATCAGACCGACCCTGAGATACTCAAGTTAAAAAATAAAATTATGGAATCAAAGTTGATATGTACCATATGTATCAAGCTTGCACCAGTGCAAGAAAAATCATGTGACCGATACAGCTGCTGTGTCATGTAGTCACTGTTAAGCAGCACACCAACACAGTGTCTGTCTAACAGTGCCGACACAATAAAGTGCTACACACTCCATGAAGCACACTATTAGCTGCTGTTATCCAGCATTAGTGACATCATGGACTTGGGCACTTAGGAAATAAACTCAACGTGAGAATGTAATCAAACTGTTTATCAGAGCAAAATGTGGGTTTTAGGACCCTCAAGCCTAACATTAGCTGACATAATATCGGCTGTTGTTGTTTAGCCAGCTTGTTGTCCACTGTCTGGAGACGGGAGGGTCTGTATTATCTGCTGACAGTAACTACAACAATACTGTAAATAAATCAGCCTTTTAAGCCCATTTTGTGTGTTAGAGCCCTGACTTAAGGAGGAAAAGGATGACATCCAGATACAGGTAGCACTGTCTCTTTCCTTTGTGTTTTCACGCCTTTGGTGAAGGGGACCCCTTCTCACATGAAAAACACAGATATGATGTGTTGTACCTTACTGAAGCCAATGAGTGAAACACGAACTGTGTATCACATTCTCCAGGAAATATCTGTGCATTAACTTGTGTAGCAATTGATAAAGTATTGTTCTACTTGACTCCAGTCTGCCGATGAGTGTTTTTCACACAGGATGAAATACACCTGTTCAATCCATCAAATCTTTTCACTTTGCTGGGAGCCAACCGGCTGCAGCAGAGTCTGCCTGAGCCTGGTTCTGCCAGAGGCTTGTTCCTGTATAAAGAGTTTTTCCTTCCCACTATTGCCAACGCACTTGCTCATAGGGGGATATCTGACTGTTGGGGTTGTCTCTGTTTTCTCTCAGTTACTGTATGGTCTTACTTTACACATATAACTACAAGTTGTGATTCGGCACAATATGAATAAAACTCAATTGAAGTCTTTACAGACTTCTCATCAACCTTTGATATTGTCTCTGAAGTAGATATGACCAATCTTCTGTGGAAGAAGAGTCATGTGATCTATGAAACACCCAGATTGGTTAGATGTGCCTGGAGCACTTCATTCATGTGATCAACATTGTCAGTGTAAATGAATCCAGATAATGAAAAGGTACCCTCTGTGCTACAGGGTGCTGTCCGTGGAGAGAACGAGCCACACATTTCATCCTGAGCCTGGTTCTGCTGGAGGCTTCTTCCTGTTAAAATCATTTTTTCCTTCCCACTATTGCTAAAGCGCTTGCTCACAGGGGGTCATATGATTATTATATTCTACTGTTTTTACATCCATCCATCCATCCATCCGCTTCCGCTTATCCTTTTCAGGGTCGCGGGGGGCGCTGGAGCCTATCCCAGCTGTCATAGGGCGAGAGGCGGGTACTGTTTTTACACATTTTAGTGTTTTTACTGTGTTTATTATTTTATCGTATTATTCTTATTGCATCTCTGATACTTCTATTGTTCAGCACTTTGGTCTTGTGTGTTTTTAAAGTGCTATATAAATAAACTATGATGATTGTTGGGATTTCTCTACTTTCTTTGCATTATTGTAGGGTGTTCATCCTTTATAACAGCAGGGTGCAAGATGCTAGCATGCAGGACATACATGGAAAGCCATAACCAAGTGGTTGTCATAGTATACAGAAACACCCGTGCCGAGTACGGAGACGCCACCACCGAGCTAAGATCCTGTGGGACCCACAGCAGATATGTTATAAGGATTTTTACAGCTGCTGCTGATTCCACAAATGTAGATTTTGGGAGAAATCGACATCTCAGCTTGATATTTCGGACAGGAGCCACGCCTCGTCATTTCACGCAGCACTCTTTTCTGACCATCTAAAAGTGAAACTATCCGCAATTTCAGGTGCAGATGGACTGAAAGCGCACAATCCTCCGGACACGTCCAGTCAGAGCTTCAAGTGCGACAATGTGGCCTTTGCACTGCGCACATGCAGAATGCACAGGGCGAGCATATTTTCTTATGTCTGTCTTGTAGTCTAATGTTTCTGGTTTTCACAACCCCACAGAGACTTCGTGAATTTTCTGCACGGTGCGCAGAAATCCGCTCGTGCTGCAGGGCCTACACAGGGAGGTGCTGGTGTTCTGAACCGGGAACAGCTACCTTATTTACCCTTAGCGTTACCGCTTACACACCGGTGCAGACGTACAATCAATCGAGTCCCTAAATGGAATACAACAGGCTGCGCTGGAGTAAACGGAATACTATATTTGTGCTAACGAAAATCGGGAAAACACTGAGTCTCGCTACATACCAGCCATTTTGGTTTTAACTGGTTTTTAGCTAGCAGACCTGCTAACGTCTGCTACTGGAAAGCATGCTAGCAGTTCCGTCACATGAACAACCACCGATACAATTTCCAGAACACGCCCCTGCATCTGAATAAATACCTTTCACTGTGAGTTGACGTTAGTCTTTCTTTTTGTCGAAAACCGTGAATCCTCTTCAGCCAGTTGGTGTTTGCCCGTGTTCCGCCATCGGCTGCAACGGGAAACGCTTCCGCCGTAGTTTTTCAAAATAAAAGCATCCTGACCCTTACCTCTAACCATATTGCAAAAAATATTCATAATAGTAATTTGGGTGCATTGTGTTAAATCTGTATCTCACCAAAAGCAACAAAACCGAGTGTGTTTCTCAAAAATATTGTTGCTGATAAACTGCAATGCCGCATTCAGACCAGTAGGGACAGTAAAGTCCCCCCACACACACATCTGTTAAAGCACTCTTTGCTTTCAGCTGGTGTGATGAAAGAGGTGTGAGAAACATTTGTCAGTCATAAACTGGACTCCATTTACTTTTCTTCTTCATAAACACAAACCGGACAGCCTCTTTCATACTACAGTTTGAATTACGTGTTTTTTTATTAATTGAGGCAAAGACGGAGCACCTGTCACAGGTACTTGCCTTTTGGCCTTACACAAGAAAACAGAAACCTACAGAATGGCTGGATGGAAATAACAACTAGCACAGTCTAGGTATGTGAAAAGTGTGAGACGACAGTTCCTGGGTTGTTGCCACTGGAGAACGTGAATCTAAATACGTTATCATGCAAAATGCACGAGGCTGTGGAAATGCACTAAGCTCAGATAGGACATACATTCTGTTATCATTTTCTTCTACGTGCCCTGAACAAGCAGCTATATTTTCATCATTTATAGAGGAAAACAATCCCAGGTTACTTTTCAGTCCTGTAAACACTGTACAGCGTAGTGTTGAGCCTCGTATTCATTTAATTCTCAGCACTAATGACTTCATGAACCTCTGTACAAATCAGCTTTGCAATTTATGTTTGGACTGTTGTAAACCCAATGATCTCTTTCGTGTGGGACAGTTAAGTAACTGCAGAAGATAACCTGCTCAGCAGTGTCTTCATTTACACTTCTTTTTAAAGTCTGATTAGTTTGCCTTAATAGCACAGCCTTTTTGTATGGGAATAGTTTAATAGCTTTAACTCATGACAGAAAGGGTTACTGTGAGGAATATGGCCGTACACTTTCTACGTAGTATGTCTATTAACTTTAAATGTTCTTGTCACATGATGCTCGTGAAATATGAAAGTCCTCATAGTATAATATCCCAGTGAAGCACTTCACTCTCACAGTGCACATTTGGTTCCTATAGTTTCTAAGAGTAGGGCGGCAGACCCTCCTTGTTTGGGTTCAGACTCCTTGTCTGGTTTCGAGTTGACCTTTCTGTAGCTACACCCTTCTTATTATTTGTTGTTGTTCCTCAGGACTCACTAATGTGTGTTTTTACTGTTGTAACTATAATCATTAGTATTATATTGTCAAACTGATATTAGTATGTGCACTTAGTACCATCCTTTATTTAACTTAAGCACAACAGTCAAAAACAGTAAATGAAAGAACCAGTCCTGGTAACTGTTGGAGCGAGACGGTCAGCACAGTTTTAAATGTCTCAATCATAGATGTTGACAGCAACACAAGTCATGCTCGTCCTGTAATGTGACAGATGCAGGGATATAGCTCGGGATTTCTTACTTTACACAGCGGAGTTTATGTTGAAAAGATTTTTTTTAAACTTTCTAATGTAGTAAATGTATACTTCTCATGATCAGGGAAACACAGTTAATGTACAATAATTTACTGTGTTTGAATTTACACTGTTACCACTGTTTGAGCATTGAAGGAAAAAGGCTTTCAGTCGTCACATCAAAGTTCAGCATCAGTTTGATGAATGCAGCAACTGCATCTACGTTTTCCTTCTTAAAAACGACCGACAGAGTGGGCCTGTCCCCCTGGATACTCTGTGACATTTCAATTTAGCACGAATAGAAAATAATAATTGAAGTTTCATTTGCATAGGCTGCTCCTTGGGACTCCAGAACAGTTGTATTTTTAAAAATTACTAGAAAATGTTCAGACATCATTAAACACACTGAAAGACGCCGATCCAATTTACTAAGTTAACCTTAATTTAGTAAATCTGCTTCACCAAGTTAATCCTTATAGATAATAATCTCTACCTCACAACTGATCCTAATACATTTATACTGCTGCCACAATTTTGGCAAGGCAAGGCAAGGCAAGTTTATTTGTATAGCACAATTCAACAACAAGGTGATTCAAAGTGCTTTACAGAGACATTAGAAACAAGAACAAATAAAAAGCATGATTTAAAATTGATTAAAACAAGTAAATAAACTAACTAACTAATTAACAAACAAACAAACAA